GTCGGTGTCCCGCTGCACGTTGAAGACCACCACGTGGTCCGGGGGCGTGGCCAGCGTGGCCGCCACGGCCTGGATGAAGAGGCCCAGCAGCGGGGACAGGAAGCGCTCCGGCGACATGTCCTCCAGGCGCAGCGTGATGCTGTGCGTGAGCATCTCGTCGGTGATGATGGTGACGCGCAGCGCGCACTGGGCCGTCACGCTGTGCACGCCGTCTGCGGAGGGACAGCGGTCAGGGCGCGGCCGGGCAGGCGGCGGCAGGCCCTGTGCAAAGGCTGCGCACTCCGCCCCGCCGGCCAAGATACGGCTCGCCCGCGAATGACTTAGGGGTCCGAGCAGGTGTGTCACCGGAGGACAAGCCACTCCTTGAGAGATCAGCCCCCACGAGTGCTGAAGGCCAGGAGATTTTTTTCCTTTTTTTGTTGCGTTGGAGTCTCACTCTGTCGCCCAGGCTGGAGCGTGGTGGCACGCTTACGTCCACCCCAGCGTCAACCTGCTGGACTCCAGCGATCCTCCTGCCTCAGCCTTCCAAGTAGCCGGAACTACAGGCGTGCACTACCAAGCCTGGCTAACTGACTGATTTTTTATTTCATTGTAGAGACCAGGTCTCGCCGAGTTGCCTGGGCTGGTCTCAAATCCACAGGCTCAGGCAACCCACTCCCCTTGGCCTCCCAAAGTGCTGTGATTACAGGCTGAGTCACTGAGCTCAGCCTCTTTTTCCTTTTTTGAGTTGGGGTCTTGCACTGTCTCCCAGGCTGGACAGGCTGGACTGCAATGGCATGATCATAGCTGACTGCAGCCTCTACCTCCTAAGCTCAAGCAATTCTCCCACTGTGGCCTCCCAAAGTGCTGGGACTACATGTGAGCACCATCAGGCCCAGCTTATTTTTTGACTTTTTTTTTTGAGTTGGAGTCTCACTCTGTTGTCCAGACTGGAGTGCAGTGGCTGCTCCCGGCCACCGCAGCCTTGCCTGCTGGGCTCCGGCGATCCTTCCGCCTCAGCCTTCCAAGTAGCTGCAACTACAGGCGCGTGCTACCACGCCCGGCTAATATTTTTTGACTTTTTGTAGAGACCAGGTCTTGCTTATGTTTCCCAAGCTGGTCTCAAACTCCAGGCTGGTGCAGTGGCTCACGCCTGTAATCCCAGCACCTTGGGAGGCTGAGGCGGGAAGACTGCTTCAGCCCAGGAGTTGGAGACCAGCCGGGGAAACACTCAAGACCTCTCATCTGTTTTGCCTTTTTCTCACTTCTCTACAAGCCCAGAGCACCACGAGAGACCCGCAGAAATCATCCCCTCAACTTCTCCAGCCTCTGCACCTCCACAAATAGTGTTCCCAACTGATTAATCAACCCCTGGCTGTGCTCCCCACTTCCCAACCACAGCAGGGAAGGTGGGGGTGGGGAGAAACTGGGTCAGTGGGCCATGCCGGCACCCTCCTACTGGGTCCATGGCTGCTTGGGCACAGACCTGCCATCCCCATGGCAACGCCCACCACAAAGCATTCTTCCCGCTCAATCCTCTGGGCTGCTGCGGGTCGCCCGGGGAGCCCCACCCTGGGAAATCCAGCAGGGCCACCTCCACCAGTGGCAGCACCACCCACTGCCCGTGCCAGAGACAGGGTGAGGGTGGCGGGAGAACCGAGGGCAGGGACGCAAGCCTGGAGACGACTGCCGGTCTTGTCTCTGGCCACGGGGCATCTTGCATCACCTACTCGGCTCAGGCATTACAGACACATGCCCGCCACACCCCCAGGAGACACACTTACTTATAAACAGCTGAGGACTGACACATACTCGCTGGTGTCTCATTCCACCCACATACCCTCAGCCCAGAAGCACCATGCACATCTGGATACACACACACACACACACACACACACACACACACACACACACACGAAGGGATTTTATTGAGCTTAGAAATGAAAGTTGGGGCCAAGGACAGGAGGAAATGAGAATGGCTTGGTAGGGCTGTAAGGAATATTATTATTATTACTATTGTTATTTGGAGGCAGGGTCTCATTGTCACCCAGGCTGGAGTGCAGTGGCGCAATCCTAGCTCACGATAACCTTGAACTCCTGGGTTCAAGTAATCCTCCTGCTTCAGCCTCCTGAGTAGCTGGGTTTATAGGTGCCTACCACCACACTCGGCTAATTTTTATAATTTTTCATAGAGATGGGGTCTCACTATGTTGCCCAGGCTGATCTTGAACTCCTGGCTTCAAAGGATCCTCCCACCTTGGTCTCCCAAAGTGCTTGGATTGCAGGCATGAGCCACCATGCCCAGTTAATATTAGTATTTTTAGTTACTATCCTGCCTTTCACACAGTAGGTGTTCAGTAAATACTGAGATGTCAGTGAGAATCTATTCGGTCTCCAGAGAGAAGTGGTCTTTCAAACATCACAGGGGCTCCAGTTAGATGTGCAAAAGGAAAGCTCATCCTTGAGGATGAAACAGGAGCCAATGTGTCTGTGGTGAGTGGGCGGAGGAGGAGGACGTGGGAACAGATTCTGTGTCAGTGTCATACCTGCTTGAGGTGGCTGACTCTACCAGGAAGCCTGCCCAGATTTATGGCCTCAGGCCCTACTTGGCTCCACTTCCCTCCTCCTTCTTCCTTTTATTTGTTTATTTTATTTTATTTATTTTTTGACTCAGAGTCTCACTCTGTCTCCCAGGCTGGAGTGCAGTGGCATGAACATGGCTCACTGCAGCCTCGACCTCCTGGGCTCAAGTGATCCTTCCACCTCAGCCTCCCAAGAGCTAGGACTACAGGTGAGTGTCAACATGCCTGGTTATTTTTATTTTTTTGTAGAGATGAGGTCTCACTATGTTGCCCAGGCTGGTCTCCAACTCCTGGGCTCAAGCAGTCCTCCTGCCTCGGCCTCCCAAAGTGCTGGGAATACAGGCGTGAGCCACTCACCTGGCCTTCCTTCCTCCTCCTTTCAGATCTCCCTGCACTTGGGTACGGGCTGGCACAGGGCTCCTGTGTGCCTGGTGCCTCTGCCAAATGATTCCAACATATTCCCTCCAGACAGAAAGCAGCCCAAGACTCCACAAATAGTGCTCCTAACTGATTCAGAGAGGGAGCAGTCAAAGCCAAGGAGCAAGAGAGCTCTGGTACCCCCAGCCCTGGGAACAACACTCCTCCCGCGTCCCCCTCCACTGTCTTGGGCCCCGCCTGCGCCCCTCTCCCAGCATGTCTCTGTTGCTTCCCATCTGGCCCGCCATCTGTGGCCACCTGCCCCTCTCCTATTGTCCCTGTCCCCAACAGCCAACCCACTGCTCTCTCCTTTCTTTGTCCCTCTTCTCTGCCTTGACCTAGGTCGCCCCTCAGGTGCAAAGGCAGGGAGGGAATGGGTACGGGGTGCACTGCCCGAGCTGTCCTCCTGGTGGGTTCTGACCCCAGGAAACCCCACCTGTGCCCGGAGCCTGGTCAGTCACACCCGGAAAGATGCCAGTTCCCAGACTGTGGCAGGGTCAGACTCCCAGCCTCTCCTCCCCTGGCAGATGTGCCCATGCAGGCTGGAGGCTGGAGCGCTCTGCTGTCCTGGGGCTGCTCTGGCCACAGCCAGCGCTTCTGTGTGTCTTGCCAGGAGAAAGAGGCAAAGAGGACCAGGTTCCAGGACGGCCACGTGGCCCAGGCAGGGGCAGTTGCATCCAAGGGACGAAGAGGGGGGAAGAGAAAGAGGCACAAACACAGAGACCACGAGGGAGGACAAAGGCCAGGGACAGAGCCTGTGGTGGGGGGAGACACAGGGTCTGGGGAGAGGGGACAGAGAGAGCCAGTGTGAAGGGCCCGCACAGCAGGGCGGGAGAGAAAGACAACACAAAGAACGAGGGGAGGAAAACAAAGGGCAGCGGAGTCAGCCCCAGCCTCCCTGAACTTTGGGGTTGCCGTGGTGACTGCCTCTGAGGGTCGGGGCCTAGGCGAGAGGGTGAGGCTAGGGTCTCCCCTCTGCTCTAGGGCAACTGAGGCCTGGAGCTCTGCCCCGTAAGACGCCAAAGGCTGGGTGGAGTTCCTCCCCTGTCCAGCCCTCAGTGTCTGGCCACACTCCCCCAGGACAGGCTGGGAGGAAGGGCCCGAGGGAGGCCTTGCCTTTCCACCCCTTCCTGCTGCTGGCTCAGCGCCTGGCACAGGTGAGGAGGCATTTGGGATACAGGAACTCCAGCCTCACACTTCTCCTCCTGGAGGCAGGAGGCACAGAGCCTCTTCCACAGCCTCTAGAAGCTCACATCCCAGTTCCCATGGCCATCTGTCCAGCAAGGACCCTGGCATGCCCCTCACTCCCCTCTGGGACAGCCTTTTCTTTCCCTGCCTTCCTGATGTGTCTGAAGGCTGCCCAGGGTGGGGGCGCCCTGACCCATCTCTGGGGTTGCAGCTACCCACGGGCCCCTCACGGGCGACCTAGTTGTTCCCAGGCTTGGAGAAGGCGCTCCGCGGCTTGGGTGCGGTCCCGCCTTGCTGTACCTCTCACCCCCCACAGCTCGTAAAGGAGACAGAATGCCGTCACCACCCCCGCCGTGCTCCTCCCCAGCCCTGCTGTCCAGGGAAGCTGCAGGCTAAGCGCTTGGCCAAGCAGCAGGAATGCCCCCGCCTGGGTCCCAGCCAGGCTCCCACGCCCCTGGGGCTCTGTTCTTCTCCCAGCGGTTGGGTGCCTTGGGGTCTCTGCCCTCAAAGCCCACCAGGCTCCTTGGGTCATCCTGGTCCCCACACCCCATTGCAGAGCCTGGGCTGCTCACAGCCAGCAGGAAAGGCCTAGCACCCTAAGAACAGCCCATGGGTGGCCAGGAGGCTTCAGCCTGCCCTGGCTTCACTGCGGCCCCTCCCCCAAGCCAGACCCCAACCACGGACTCTGAAAGTGGGGTCTGTTTGGACAGAGACAATGAGCTCCAGCCTCACTTCCTGCGGGAGCTCTGAAGGGGGAGCCAGCCTGGGATCTTTCTGCCTGGGGGGAAAAGAACGCCGGAGACAAAGTCCGCGTCAGCCGATTCTGCAGCTCAGCCAGGAGCCAGAGGGGCCAGAGGAGGACTGCAGGGTCCTGACCCCCTTGCAGCAACCCTGGCTCCGGCAGCCCTCGGCCTGCCAGAGGCTGCCTAGATCACAGGAAGACCTCCACGGGATTGGAGGGGTGCCGGAGCCCTCCTGCCTCCCTCTGCGCTGCCGCAGTCCCCTCCCCCCTAGCTCTCTTGGCCCCCCAGTCTTTCACGCGCCTTTTTTTCACAATCCTTGGCAGCCACAGCCAGAGCAGCCTCACAACACTTCCTCCAGCACGTCACAGGCTGGTAGACAGGGGGCAGCCAACCGCAGCAGCCCAGCCCAGCCGGGGGCGGCAGGCGGGGCCTGCACCAGCTGCCAGGATTCCTGGGGCTTCTGCCCAAGCTGGTTCTGGCCCCCTCACCCTCCGTGCCAGACACGAGCAGGGAGGCGGGTCAGCAGCTGCTTCCTGGGTGCTTCCCACCTCCCGTGGCTGTCCAGGCACGCCCCAGGGGCCACCCCCACCCCAGATCGTGGAGGGCAACATCCCAGCGCCACCCGCGCCTTCCTTACCTGACACCAGCACGCTCATGATGGCCTCCAGAGGCCGGTTGTTGTCCAGAGCCCGGCTCAGCCTCAGCTCTCCCGTGGAGGCATTGAGCAGGACCAGGCTGAGCTCATTTCCCCGCTCAAAGCTGTAAGTCAGGCTGTCTGAGACGTCAGGGTCATGGGCAGGCACTCGGCCAATGGCACCCCCGGGGAAGCTGCTAGAGCGGTTGGTGACGTAGTTGTTAAAAAGTATCTCGAAGTTGCCCAGCACTGGTGGGTTGTCATTGCGGTCAAGGAGGCGGACATGGACGGTGGCCCGGCTCACGAGAGGGGCTGATGTGGCCTGGATGACCAGCACGTACTCGGGCCGGTCCTCGTAGTCCAAGTCTACCAGGGCCGTGAGCTCCCCGGAGAAGATGTCCAGCTGGAAGACCTCCGGGATGTTGCCCTCCACGATCTGGTACATGATCTGGGCATTGGTGCCTTCGTCAGGGTCCGTGGCTGTGACCCGGGCCACGGCCAGCCCGATGGGGCTGTTCTCTTCCACAAACACATCAAACTCGTCCTGCTCAAAGACAGGCGGATTGTCATTCACATCCAACACCGTAACTGTCACTTCCATGGGAGTGCGGGCTGGGGGCATCCCCTTGTCCACCGCATAGGCCCGTAAGACATACTGGGCCACGTTTTCCCGATCCAGCCTCCGCAGCGTTCGCACAATGCCTGACGTGGACTCTACAATGAAGTCCCCGTCTCCGTCATCGCCGCCCTGGAAAGTGTAGAAGACCCGGCCATTAAGGCCAGAATCACGGTCTGTGGCTGAGATCTGCAGGACGCTGGTGAAGGGCGGCACATCCTCGTAGACGCTCCCCTGGTAAGAGTCGCGCAGGAACTGAGGGGCATTGTCATTCACGTCATTCACCAGGATCTCCAGGTAGGTGGTGTCGGACTTCTGGGGAATGCCGTTGTCCCGTGCGGTGATGGCCAGGGTGTAGGACACTTGGTCTTCGTAGTCCAGCTCAGCCTGAGTGGTGACAGCCCCTGTGTCTGCGTCGATGCGGAACTGGGGGATGCTGTCCTCCATGAAGTAGGTGATGCGTGCATTCTCACCCGTGTCCTCATCCGTGGCGCTGATCAGCACCACCGTGGTGCCTGCTGGCCGGTCCTCGTTCACATTCACTGTGTAGTGGGAGCTCTGAAAGACAGGACGATGGGTGTTGGCGTCGGTGACATTCACCACGATCTGTGCCGTGTCCTGCCGAGTGCCGTCGGAGGCGGTAACAGCCAGCACATACTGCCGCTCGAGTTTGTAGTCCAGTGGCAGGGCGAGGGACACCAGTCCGCCGCCACTTTGGCTGGTGATGGAGAAGCGGTTCCGGGTGTTGCCGCTGGTGATCTGGTAGGTGATGACACTATGGGCGTCACGGTCCACGGCCGACACTGTCACCACGCTGGTGCCCACCGCTGCATCCTCATTGAGCCGCACTGTGTACTCGGGCTGAGTAAAGGTGGGGTTGTTGTCGTTGACGTCCAAGATGGTCACACTGACACTGGCGGAGGCAGTGAGCGCTGGGGTGCCATGGTCTCGGGCTTCTACCCCAAAGCTGTAGAAATCAACCTCCTCCCTGTCCAGCTCGGCAGCCACGGAGATCCAGCCTGTGCCATTGTTGATGGCGAAGGGGAAGTCATGCCCGACCCCAGCGAGGCGGTATTCCAGGTGGGCATTGTCACCGGCATCAGCATCGATGGCCTGGACGTGGAGAACCAGATAGCCCAAGGGGACACTCTCTAGGACAGTAGCCTGGAAGGGGGTGCTGACAAATATGGGGGTATTGTCGTTGATATCCAGGACCTGCACCGTCACCAAGCCGGAGACGTTGGAGAGCGGGGGCCGGCCACCGTCCTGTGCGCGCACCCGCAGCGTGTACTCCTTAGTCGTCTCATAGTCAAGAGGGCTCACCACATCCAGAGCCCCGGTCTGGGCATCCAGATAAAACTGTCCCCGAGCGTTGCCGCTCATAATGCTGTAGTGTACCAGGGCATTGCTGCCCTTGTCTCGATCGGAGGCCGTGACCCGGAGTACTGGAGCTCCTGGGGTCACATCCTCCCGCACCTGGACTATGTAGCGCTTCTCACTAAACTGGGGGGCATTGTCATTGTCATCCTCCACAGACAGGAAAACAGCGGCTGTGGCACTCCGTGGACCCGGGTCCCGACCCTGGTCACTCGCCTCCACCGTCAACTGGTAGGATTCCACCTCTTCCCTGTCCACGGGGCCACGGGTCCGGATCACCCCGGAGCGAGGGTCAATCTCAAAGACTTCAGAGGGACCGCCCCCCGGCCCTTCCAGCAGGCGGTACAGAATATTGGCGTTGGGCGGGGCATCGCCATCCGTGGCCCTGACAGTGAGCACCTCATAGCCAACCTCCAAGTTCTCCCTGAGGCTCTCCTTGTATTCCTGCTGCTCGAAAACTGGGTCATGGTCGTTGGTGTCAGTCACCAGGATGGTGAGTGTGGCCAGGGCACTTCGCCGGGGCATGCCGTGGTCCTGCGCCGTGACCCTGAAGACGTGGGTGCTCTTAGTCTCACGGTCCAGCTCTTCCGCTGTGGTTACCGCACCAGTGGTCGGGTCCAGGGAGAAGAAATGGTTGGAGCGGCTATCGAAGAGGGCATCCATGGTGTACTCCAGCCGGCCCGCCTCCCCCTCGTCGGGGTCGATGGCCCGCAGGGATGCCACCGGGGTGCCCGCAGGCTGGTTCTCGGGCACTGTGGCCTGGTAGCTGGGGGGCTGGAACTGGGGAGCTGTATTTACATTCCTTTTCCGACGGCCGCCCGTGGGCTCTTCTGGTGACCCCTCGCCTGCCCTGAGCCCCGGGGCCTGTGCCACCCGGCAGGACTGGCATCGGAGCCGCGGGGCCTTCAGGCACGGCTGCTCCTGGGGCAGGGTGAGCTTGCCCTGCGGAGAAAGGTGGCCTCCGATGCCCAGCAGGCGACAGCTCCAGGGGCAGCCTTCGGGGGCCGGCGGCAGGGGAATGCGGGCCCCGGACTCCGGACACCAGACCCTCAGGCCGTCTTGGTGGGGCACCAGATGGCCGGTCAACTCGGTGCCCGCATCCCTGCAGCGGCTGGTGGAAAGCCAGAGGATGGCGGCGAAGACAGAACAAAACCAGACATATTTTTATAAGGCCCTGGGGGACCTGAATGTACTGGTGTTCTGTGATTCTGCCTTTTCTTCTATGGGTTGTTTTGTTTTTGTTTTTTGTTTTGTTTCGTGTGTGTGTGTGTGTG